AAACCCCATGTTTATTGTTAATAGATTAACTTTCTCCATAAAGGAGCTTGTGTCTTCTGAAAAATGTTTGGGGGCTGCCGAGCATAAAGGTTGAAAACCACTGAGCTAGAGTAATGTATCTTTATATGTGATAATTGGACAGCTAAAGGGCTAAAGCTATTCAACTGTACCTTAATGAAAAATGCCTGGAGAATAGAATAGAATGTGATAAACTTTGTGTTGGCATTTTTGATCCAGTCTGTGAAACTTGAGTAACTGAGGAGATTCTATAAAAGTTACTCCACAAATGCACAAAATAAAAGGACAATGAAGTTCTTTTTATAAGGATTCCAGCTGATCTTATAGAATAATGCCTCTGCTGTAGACTATGGTTATTCTGAACTCTTTTTAAGGTTTAACCCCAACAAATGGTATAGAATTATAGGTTAATTTCTATAGAACAACAGGTTTCATCCCTAGTGTCTATATGATGACTTTTTAGTTGTAGATACACATTGAATTTTAAATTAAGATCTATGTAAATAATTTCTACACAATGAAGAGTCACTGATACTCAGGATTTCAGGTTTCCCCACCAGGGTAGCTTTGAATCCAGATACCCAGCTTTGACAGTCAGACCCCTTGGACAGCACGGGTTTGTCACAACACCATAGACTTCTCCTATGATGGTTGGTACAAGAAACTCCTGCAAATGCTTATAAACTTTCTCTACATTTAAGAAGACAGGGCAGGAGTTGCCAAGCAAAATTATTCCTCTCGTGGTTATATATGCTAACTTCTTTTTAGGAGAAGGGTTTTGGGGTTTTTATCCTCCCACATTGATTGAGTTTTACTTGATTTTGTCAGTATTAGTTCACCTTTATTTGAACTGCTGGATAATTCATTTGTAGAAGAGGCAGTACATTTAGGTACTTCCATCTGTGTTTAAACAAGGCTCTTGTGCTTTCCCATTAAAAAAAAGATTTTGTATTATTATGCTTGTGGTAGATGAGGTTCTGAATTTAACTCCTTCCTACTCTAGTTTCTCTTAACAACTCCTGTGTTATCAACACCTGGGGTTTCTAGTTTACTCTCTTTGCAAATATGAATTTGCAAGAAGAGGTTGATGGTAAGTAGCGTGGTTCTAATTTGCACTTGTGAAGTGTGTCAGACAGTTTCATCAGGGCATGGTGAGCAGAGGAAAGCCTATCTTCCTCTGAAAACAGCCCTTAGAGGATGTCAGAGAGCGTGTTTGGCTGCGATGGTCACATGCAAATGCAGTATGGTTTTGAAATGAGCTGTCCAGGAGCTGCTGGAGAAAGGGATGCCTGTACTCCTATGAATCCTCTCTTTGCCTTTCTCTGTTTTCTTTTTCCTATTTCTGTTTGTTTTCCTGATTCTGGGCTGTCACTTCATTGTGCTTTTGGATGAGTCTACTTTGTTGTGCTGGTAGAATTTCTATGGATTCCCTTGGATGAAACATTTGTGATAGTCATCTGTTTTTCTAGGGGATGTAGATAGGCCTTACCAGCTTTCTGTTCATTACTCCATCTACCTGGCATCTTTATAGCCTCATCCATCCCTCCTATCCTCCTAGTGCCTTCCAGACATCTATTGAAATCTCTCTTCCCGGTGGTATCTGCGTGCCCTTCTCTTATCCTTCCACACATTCCTGTCCTCAGAGCAGGAATCTTGTCCATAGTTCATGTGCATTTAATGTTTTTTCTTAATCCATTAGTAATCTAGAGGTTTAAGCCTGAGGTGATATTTGAGTGCATGGTTGGACTGTGGCCACCCTTCTGTCTCCCAGGCAAAAGGTCAGAGAATTTATGGTGATACCTCACCTGTGCCCTTGCTCAAGAGCTACAGCCAATTTGTCCCCCTAAATCATCAGTGCTCCAGTAGTGGTAAACTCCCTCTAACCTGTCCCATTTCTCTACTATACCACATCAGCTTAGCCTTACACCTCTCCCCCTAAAACCCAGCTTTCATCACACACTTGCCCAGAGCCCTCAGAGGAATTCAGAATGAGTCACACAGGGCGCCTCTGGGGACTCCTACTGATGCAAACTTCCTCCTCCTCAAGGCAGCCTGTGGTTTGATGCCACAGTGCAGCTGGTACTTGTTAGCTCAAGCCTTCACTGTGAAGTTGATGGCAAAGCTTGGCCTCTGGCCCAGGCACCCCCAACTTGGCACCTTCCTTCAATGGGTTCTGGTGGAGGAGATACTCACAGCTCATCCTCCTTGTAGTGTGAAGCACAGGAGCTGCTCAATGCCAATCAGTAGACCATGAGGGGGTTTTTTTTGGAGAAATGGTTTATCATTCATTCTTAGGGTATACTGCAGTCCAGGTAGGACACTGGCATCAGCAAATCAAGTGAAATGTTGTTTGGATGTTTATATGTAAGGTTAAAGTCCCCCAGTTCTTGGGATAGGATAGACTTTCATCATAAGAGCTTTAGTTGAGTTCTGTCATCACCTGCTTCCAGAGTCTGCATTCAGAAATATATAATGGGATGAATAGGGCTCATTTATGTTGTTTTGGTTTGGTCTTTCCCTCTCTCTCTGCTAGGCCATTGTCTTTATAACATTATCTACCTTATCGCTCTTCACATGGAAAAGAAAAATGCTTTTCTGGTGGTAATTACACAGTGCCGCGTCGTAGACCTTTCATCCCATTACAGTAAGTGGACAAACTACTGTCATTTACAAGAATGAAATAGGTGAGGAAATGGGAAAGTTTCTGACGCTCCCAGACAAAAATGCCAACCTGACATGGGAGAACAATTCTGACAGAAAACAAGTTTTCTTGCTAGCAATGAGTGCTGGTACAGTTCTGCTCTGACACAAGTATGGAGAAATGCCTGCTCGTCTTCAGGTGTTTCAGAAATAGAAGAATAGAGCAGTATTAATGGAGGACTACAGGCCCTTAACCTGTCTCTGGCCTTGCAGTTCAACTGAGACACACACCAGCTCTTCCTTGCTCTCAGTTTCAAAATCTCTTCAGTCTGTGTGATGCCTTGTCATGGATCTGTTAGCAAGGTCAGTGTGTGAGTACATTTAGATGTTTTCCTCCAGTAGAAGTTTTCTGCCGCCTTATTCCCCACCTCTGCATGCACACCTTTTACATCTCTCAGAACAGATTGATGATCTTAATTTGCTTAGGTTCTTTTGATGATTTATAGTGTTTCCTCGTGGGAGGTTTACTGTCATGGGAGGTTTACCCTGAAGGTGTAATTGCAGGAATAAGGTCTTTACCAGTGCATCAGCAAAAAAATATTTTCACATCACCAGGGAAGAGCTACCAGTTGGATGGTAGAGTTTCCTTACCCTTTAGTAGACTTGCTTGTGGTCTGTGGACTAGAAGTTGAGTGGCTTGCACTTATCTCCCTTTTCTTCGTGTGAGGTGGTTGCCATATGTTGTGGGGCAGTGTCCTACTTTCTCCTGCCTTCTATGGAAGGTGAGTTTGGAACCCTTGGAGGCTCAGAGACTTGGATGGTTGAAGTTCCTCTCCAGCCAGTGCCCTGGCTGGTTTGGCAGCAATTGATTGTCGCCACCTGCTGACCAGGCAGAGGATTTCTCTGGGCCGGGTACAGCCCGTGTTGGGGGTGTCCAGAAGAGCCCTCACCCAGCTCTCCCTGGCAAGAGGGTGATGGGGTAGTAGGTAGAGGTCAGGGTGCTAGCATAAAGCAGGAACATTGAGAACAAATACAAGATTGGTCATTTAGAGAAAGGTAGCACATGCCTTAGAGTGAACATAACCATGGGTGAGAGCTGAGCTGGTCTGACTTTGGGCTGCTGTGAACTTGTAGGTTATCAAGCAGATCATGGATGACATCAAGCCTAGTGCAGGAAGTTCAGATGAGATATAACTTGGTGTAACTATAGTGTTAGGTGCAGTCAAACTACATCTTCACTTAAATGCATCTCTGTATAGGAATGCATAAAATTCAGGTACTCTTTCAGAATAAAGTAAAATAAAGAGACAAGAAATTTTACCTAATCCTAAAGTCCAGTAATTCAAGTTTCCTCTTCTTTGATTTAGTGAAAAAAACTTAAAGAGCGTTCTTCAGTGTTCTTCAGAAACTGTTTCACATTATTAGTTCTGTAACAAAGATGTCTTTTCACCCTGGTGTTTTTGAACATGTAAATGCAAGGTAAGGCAGACAAACAAGTACATTAGACTGAAGGATGTACAGTGCCTATTAGGTCAGCGTCATTGCATCAAAGCTTCATTCCGTGAGCAAATTGCAGGAAATGGCAGCATTTACTGTGATCCTCTTCCCTGGCTGCCCCAGCGCTGCTGCGCCTGGGGCATTGGTGCAGGTTTACATGACTGCCATGGTGGGAGCTCACTTCTGAAGCTCTTGGGAATCCTGCCCACCTTTCTGCCCTTTAATGAAGCATGTGTAACATTTGCCTTCTCTGGGATCACTCCAGGTTTTCAACCAGCACATCCAGAGTAGGGATACCTCCATGTTTTGCTTTGATTTAAGTTGATTCTTACAGTTTGGGACCAACTTTTAGGCCATCCCACCCTGCTGCCTCCTGCACAGTTAAAGGTGCTCCTGCATTAGGGCAGAACCCTACAAGTACTCTAGGGACCCAAGGGTCATGTCTCCATAGAGACTATAATCTCATTTTCTCTCTTTTTCAAAACACTTGTATTCTCACAGGAATGCCAGGGGTTTCCCCTAATTATTCTCCAGTGAGTCTCCCTTTTTTTTTTTTTTTAATCATTTTTTAGTTTGTTTATTTGTTTGGAGGCAGAGGAGAAAACTGCAAGGAGAGATGAAATGCCACGCACAGCAGTTCTGCTTGGCTGCCGTGCTGCTGTCCCTGTTCTGTCAGAGCAGGGGTAGGTTGCTATTACCATTTTATAATGCATGGTCTCAGGTACATTCCTGCTTTCCTAAGCAGTTTGAGTTGCTGCTCAGATGTTACTGTAAATCCCCGTTTCCACCCAACCCCTCGCTTCTTGGTCCAGCTGACACTGTGTCTCTTTTTCCTTGCTCCCCAGGTCTCTGGGACCTCGAGCAGCTCCGCCGCCACCACCCCATCCGTGTCCACCCCTGTTACTGGCCACAAGCGGATGATCATCCCCAACCAGCCTCCGCTGACCGCCACCAAGAAGTCCACTGCCAAGGGCCCGGGGCAGCCGGCGCCCATCCCGGTCACTCCTGTGGGCACCCTGAAACCGCAGCCCGTGCCGGCCTCCTACGCCACGGCCTCCACGCCCAGCCGCCCGGCCTTCAACGTCCAGGTGAGGACGGCGCAGCCCAGCCCGCACTACCAGCCGCCTGGCCCGCAGCCCACGCACTATGGCAGCCTGGGGCCCAGCCAGCCCTACGCGGCCCCGCCGTCCCGGCAGCCCTCTGCCCCGCAGTACGGAGCGCCACAGCCCCACGGGCCCGACTACGGCTACGCTCCACCACCCGCCCGGCCTGCGGAGCCTGCCTATGGATATGCACCTCCGCAGGGCCGCTACCAGGACCCCTACTACGGGGGGTACGGGGGAAGGAATGGCTCTGAAGCGCCCTACGTGCCACAGAGCTCCTGGAAGGCTGAGCCAGCATATCCTGCCAGTAACGCCATGGGCCAGGCTCCTCCTGGGCTCTACCAACCGCCAGGCAGTAAGAAGACCTATATCACCGACCCGGTGCTGGCCCCACAGCCACCCACTCTGCAGCAGAAGGTAGGAGATGTGGGTGCTCACCCCCCAGGGGGTTGGAGAGCCGCATGGCTGAACGTGGCTTGGGACCCTCTCTGAAAGGTGTTGGGAAAGTGGTGCCATTGGGGACGTGGGGCAGTTCTCCCTCTGTATGGCATCTTAAAAGCTGGAAATAGGGAAGTCTCATCTGCTTTGAAAAGAGGCTTTGTTGGGACTTAGAAAAGCCATCAGCCTCCAAAGATGAGCCAATGTAATGTGTGGAGGTATGGTGTCACCCCACAGGCAGGAGGGAGGCTTTATCCCTGTGACATGCCATTGCCCGAGGAACTCCCTGGCCATGCCTCCGTACAGCATTGCTGCACTGGGGTCTTCCCTTCTGATGAAGTGATGAAGTGAGGGGTTCGGTGAGAGCTGCTGCTCCATGTGCTTGTGGACAACCCTGGTTTAACTCGTAATCCTCCCTCTCCTCAGGCAGATGGGAGGTACATGAGAGGCTGGTTTTGATTGCGGTTCACAGTGCTTGTGGAGGTTGTCCTCTGATGTGTCGCTGTTCAAAGATCACTTATCACTGAAACCACATGGAAATGAGTTCCTGCAGAGCTTGGCTCTGGTTTTCTTCTCCGGTGATGGTACGCCGGGTGGCCTCCATCCACTTCAGCCAATGCCTGGACCTCATAAAGTGAAGTCAAGTTGAAATAGGAAGTTTAACTGGTCTACCTGGTTTCTCTGCCCAAGCTGGCCTTGTCTGGCTTTTGTCACTTCTGCTGGTGGAAGTCTTTAATGTGGCTCTAGGGGCAAAGAGGCACTGTAGCTTTGCAGGGCCCTTGTGCATGACAAGCTGAGGCTCCACCGAAGGGTGAGGCAGGGTGACAGTGACACCATCACTGCCCAGGCCCACCCTGACATGTCTGAGCACATTCTGCTCTTGGGTTTATGGGTGCTGACAGGGAAAGGGGAAAAAGCTTCTGATACATAACAGAAACCCTGTCCTTTTGTTATTTCCATCTCTAACAGCATACAGACTGTCTTCCTTGAATTCCAGGTTTCCTGACAGTGGAAACTTTTGAAGGCAAAGATGTTCCTCAAGGCAGTTTAGAGAGGGCAAGAAATTACACAAGTCCTTGGAATATTATCTACTAGCAACTAAGAAACTGCTTTTTCTCTTTTCTTCCCCTTCCTTACCAAGAAGCTTAGGATTCAGGAGAGAAATAGCAAACTCTTCAGGTACTTGGTGTAGAGCTTAAACTGAAAAGTCGCAAAAAGACACAAAATTTACACATAGCCTTAAGTGGTGTAAATTGTTGTGGTTCCAGTGGAGTCACTGAGGAAATGCTGAGGTAGAGCGGATCCATATTTAGACTTTTATAGATACAAGTAGGCTTATATATATAAAAAATTTAAAAACTGTAGTTCAGTCAGCATCTCTATGGAAACGCAAATCATCTTGAACCACAAACAGCACAAGCCTGTTAGTCTCATTTGCATTACAAAGCTGGAGGGACAGTTTAATTTAGGTTAAGTTTGGGGTTTCATGTCTGCATGTATATATTTTTATATATATGTTTGTGTGTGTGCACGTGGCATTTGCAAATACACATGCAGAAATGCTTCATAAATATCTCTATAAAAAATAATTTTAGTTCTTCTGCAGAACAGACTATTATTTGCTTGGTGATTAATCCCTCCAGAAACTTTCTTTCTCATCCAACCAAATAACTGTGTTATTACCTATTTCACTTTTTAGCTTACTGGTCTTCTGTAACATATTGGTGGCAGACTCTGCTCAGTCATTGCTTTGTAACATATATAGTTTAATTGGTGAAGAATTAAAGGTGATCTAAGAGTCTTAACAGGAAATGCTCAGTAATAAAACACTATATGCTTTGCCATTGAAGCAGTGTTGTCCAGTCTTACTGCGTGCTGTTCTCTTCCTCTGCAGACTAACTAATTCATAAAATCAACTCCTGGAATTATTTTATTTAAAAGGAAAAAAAAAAGAAAGGCTATATTAGAGCCAAATATCTGATTGGGAGAACTGTCACTGTAATTTGATTTGGCTACAATATGAATGTTAACTTATTTTCCTGAACACAACTGGCTTCTGCATTTTATTTTGTTTTGCCTTTTCAAGGTTATTTTGAGGCCTTTCAGTTAAGGAAATAGATTTGGGAATCCAGGGTAAGAAGCAGGCATTAGTGCATATCATAAAATGCAAGATGACCTTTAGGAATCTTATTTCTTTCAAGGGAATTATTTTAAAATATAAACCAATTTCTAAATGTATTCAAAACAGTGCCTTCTTAATCTTGAACACACTCTGTGTGCAACATATTAAGGATATTGTAGCAAATCTATCTCAGATTAAAAGTTCATAGTTCTTAATTTTAATATGATCCATCACTTTGAGAGGTAAAATTTTTCATTTAATTTTTTAAGGGTTTTCAAAGGGTCAGAAAAAAAAGTATATATTAAGCATTCTGGCTAGGAAGAGGTTCGTGGCACTGTGGCTCAGTGGTTTTTGCTGTGTACTAATCACGTTGAAGTCACTGCTGATCCAAAATAAATCTGGATTGGTATGGGAACAGCAAGTAATCTGTACTGGTTCTTAAAGCCTGCTGAGAACAATGAGTTTTACTCACTCACAACTCTGCATTGCATTCTGTCCTTGGGCCAGTTATGGAGTGAGAATCATGCATGTGAAACCTCTGGGCATTTTAGTCTTTCCCAGCACCCTATCTAGCATTAGTGCCCAAGTCCTAGTTAGGAAATGATCCGGTGGAGTACATGTCCTCATTTAAACCTCCATGTGCTTCAAGGGCTGAAAAACCTCGGGAGCTTTCTGGATGGTTGGTGGTGGGGATTTCTGCAGAAGCAGCAGCAGAGCTCCCATGAGACTGTCACAGAAACGTGTAACACAATCAGCTACTCCTGTGCTTTTTGTCAGAAGTGCTGTGCCTACTCAGACCAAGTCAAAATCTGTAGCCTCTCTTTTAACTTCCCCCTTCCCAAAGGCCAGAGTGCACAAGATCAGGGTGGCTCATTAGGTACGCTGATTTCTGGCAGCAAGATGTCCACAGTGGGCAAATGACAAAGCACATTTCTGTCATGGAGAATTACTGAAACTTTGCCCTGTGGCCAAAGCGGGGGTGATAAAACTCCTACCACCAACCAGCTTAGCTATCACATGTTTCTGTGCTGGACTGGTTAAGACACCAAATACCTTTGTTGAGCTCTCATATCTCAAAATAAGTCTAGGTCTTTTTACTGTTTTTGGTCATGTTTGAGAGTTTTTGAGATACTATTACGTGTCTCTCAGGTGGATTTGTGAACCTTTCAGGAACCTCATATATTTCGTGGTGTATTTGAGGGGTGGCCCCTGGGAGGTCTGTTCTTCCTAGATCTAAGGTCCCAGCTATTCTCCTTCTTCTACTCATAGGCTTGGGGAACAACATTCCTTCCTAAAGGAACCTGCACATTTTCAACATCCAGACTAGGTACCAGTGAAGTAGTTTGAGAGAGCTTGTGGTTTTGGTCCAGAATGGAGGAAATCTAAAAAAAACCATTGACCTCTTGAGAACGATTTGCCAATTTGGTGAGGATAGAAGTGTCTTGTAGCTCTCATTTAGTACAGCACCCAAGACCATGCTCCCTTGCTGCAGATTTTCTAGAAGGAGAAAGGGAGCAGTGTCCCTGCAGTAACTGTGTCTGTTCTCCCTGATATGGCACTAGTGCCCAAGTTCCTTAACCTGCTCAGCCCAAAGCAGCCATGGGTCTCACTGTCCCCATTCACACACAAAGAGTCATCAGTGCAAATGAAGCATGGCCCTCTCTTCAGATGACCCTTCAGTGTTGTGCACCTTTTGAGGTGAGCACCATGAAAAGTGGCGAGACAGCTGGAAATCAGGAGATAAGATTAATGAGGCAGCTTATGCTTTTGGCATGGTTTAGGTGGTGGTGACCACTTGTGATTAGCAGACCTCAGCCACCACATCGTTTCCGCACTGCTGGAGGTGGTTTCTTTGCTGCCTGCTGTACCCAGCACCCATGAAGCTTTCAGTGCCCAAAAAGGACCGTTATGGTTTGCTATTTTCTCATTTTACACCACTTTTGTCAGTTTTTCCACTGATTTAATACCTGTGATGGAGACATTCACTTGGAAGTTTCATCTTTGCCTCAGAAACATATGCTCGCTGGTGTCCTTTGCTATGACTGATGCACTTCTCCTGTGCTGGTTTAATAATTTTTACAGTCTGCCATCACTCACATAAAGTGGATACCTCCAGCACCTGTTTTTGAACTGAGACTAATTCACTAGCTGTTTGCTGTTAATCTAGCAACTAGAAATTTTTTGTTCTCTGCAGATGAATAAATGCAGTCTGCCAGATTCCCTCCTGCTGTCACAGGGATATATTCTTTTTTAGTGTTGCTTTTGACTTGGTGGAGAAAGGTAGGCAGATTGTTCAGCGCTTCTCACCCAAAATTATGTGTCTCCACCCAAGCGTCTTCTTCACAAAAGTCAAGTGTCAAAAATTTTCACTGGATGGGATTTAGAGACAGAGTAAAATGATGGTTGAAGTTGGTTTTCTGTCAGTGTGGGACAGTGGCATTCCATAGTTTTAATATGCTAAAATAAAGCAAAACAAAGTAGAATTAAAAAGGCTTATTTAAAATACTCTACTTTGGCATTTAATGAATTAAAAAATACTGAAAACTACTGTAAAATGGAATAGAAGGTGAAATTCTGAAATTCAGAGTTAAATTTGCGAGTTCAGTGTGACATTTCAAAATTTTCAGATGAATATGTAGTTCCTTTCTACCCTGAGAATAGCAACAAATGTCAAAATGTTGACATTCTTCACAAAACAGTAATTCAGAGTTCTAACCAGCACTAGCTGTATATCAGCTGCTGGCTCTGTCATTGCTTCTGGGTAGATTAAATTAAATGCTATTGCTTCTGTTAAAATGAGGAGGAGGGGAAGAAGGCAGTGGTGTTTAACAATGAGAAACTCAGAGTTAGGACCTGA